TCCATCAAAATTTCAGAGGGGGGGGAAGCATGTTTTTTGTTTGCCTATAACCTAAGATCCCAAAAGTTTTTTTAGGAAGGAAGGGAAAGGATCAAATGAGGACTGCAAAGAAGGGGTAGATCCACAAAAGATGCTAACAACCGACTTTTTATCATTTCTTTTTTCAGCAAAACCCACTCCTGTTTTTTTTTTAAAAAAATAGAACCGTTTTCCCTGCAACTTCTAAAAAGAAAGTAGCTCACCGGTTTGAAATAAACCAGAAAGAGTTTGTTCCTGGTCTAATTCACCCAAACAGAGGATCCATACTTCCTTGCCACAAACCACATCAAGTTCACAGTTTTGAGGGGTTCGTTATTTTGGAGGGGGTGGGTGGGAATCTGGAACGCCTCCGGGCTGCGTTAAGAATCGGAAGGCTAAGTTTTTATTCCACGCGAGAGAGGACGGTGCACCCAAGGATACACCAAATCCACGCTCGATTTATTTGGGGTGGTGTTACTCGTTGGTTTGTTTTGACTTTTTTTTTTTTTAAGCAGACACAAAAAAGAAGAGTTCAAGTGCCCTGCCAAACCACGCTCTCCCACGTAAACAACTCCTTGCGGTGTTGAAACGCTGGGTCTGTGTTTGGGGGAATGTCTCCCTGTTCCTGCAGCTTAAAAGACCCATTTCAAATTCTCTTTTTTGGGAGGAAAATGCAGATAATCCTCAACTTCCAACAGTTCGTTAAGTGGCCATTCAAAGTTACAACGGCACTGAAAAAGGTTTTCCACACTTACAACTGTTGCAGCGTCACGTGATCAAAATTCAGGTGCTTGGCAACTGGTTCCTATTCATGACGGTTGCCGTGTCCCGGGGTCACGTGATCAGCTTTTGTGACCATCTGATGAGTAAAGTGAATGGGGAATCCCGATTCCTTTTACAACCGTGTTGCTAACTTAACAAATGCAGTGACTCCCTTCACAACTGTGGCAAGAAAGATTGCAAAAGGGGGCAAAACCCACGAAGGAAGGCAAACATATGTGGATGTTGCAAGATCCAATCTGGGTCAATCAGAAAGCTTGAAAGAACTAACCTCTGGTCCCGATGACCGATCCAGATTGGACCTCGCAATAAAATTCTCGACCTACCCCCACAACGTAGCCCAAACTTTCCTCTGTTAAGCAAGACCGTCGTTAAGGGAGCTCTGCCCCATTTTACGACTTTCCTTGCCGCATGTATACATTCAGTGAATCAGTGGTTAAGTTAGTAAGATGGTTATTAAGTGACTCTGGCTTTCCCACTGACTTTGCT